TATCACTATCGGGACCTCTTCTCTTTGTGCCGCCGCAGGTTTCGCGTCCACTGGGCAGGCCACCGTCTCTTTTTGTGTAATCGGCATCAATTCATCTGCAGGTTCACTGACCGGTATCACTGCGACGTCATCTACAGGGACCTCTTCTTGTTGTGCCGTCCTTGCTTCGATGGCACCCGTTCTTGCTTGGGTAGCTTCTCTTTCTGCGGCCATTTTTTCTCGCCAGGCCTGTCTGTCAGCCTCCCATCTTGCCATGAAATCCTTATGGTCTTTCCTCCTCTCTTCCCTCTCGATCTTTCTATCGGCTTCCAGTCTGGCCGCAAATTGCTCCAGACGTTCCATAAATTCCTCCATGTCCACGCTGCAGCAGTAAAACACTCGATGCACAATAATCCAATTATTTGTCAGGCGTGTTTAAGTTCGTAAAAATTCTGACACCAAATTATCACGTGTTTTGAGTACGAATCTCGTTGGTCACGTGTGTAAGTTCGAATCCCACTTCTGACACCAATGTAACGTGTTTTGCGTTACTGAATACGCCGTAGAGATCGTTAACTGGTTTATTGAACAATCTACAACTATCGGCTACACTTAATTATCACAACGTTACGGGTTTCCACAGTTTACAAACCCTACAACAAAATGTCTTAACACCGTCTTCACTTGTCTTCACGTACTGATAACGCGGGAGCTATACAAGTCTCCCTGAAATACACACTCTGAGTATAACCGTGATCACTGGTTATCGCACACACGCAGGCTGCTATGTTTCAACTCTGCGGTAGCCACACTAGAACTGACTGTGAATAGCCTTCGCTGCTCCGTATGTAGCCTTGATCGGACAGTACGGGAAAACGGCCACGCAATAGGCACCCTTTTTGCCTGGCGCTGTGTTGCTATGTAATGCTAGCGGAGGTCACCGCTGTTACTATCGTAACGTCGCCGCTGTTGATTCGCGTTGCCTAGCGACCGCGATATCCCTCGGTGACGTCACCACGGAGGGGAGTGGCAGGGCGGGAACTCGCCTATTACCGTAGTAACGCGAGCGTTACGTTACGGCCACGTACCGCTGGGGAGATAGGGGTCGACATGTCACAATATATATTGTAATGTGTTAGTGATTATGTATGGGGTTTGGAGTGATAATTGGATTTATTGAACACTTATAACTTGTAACTACAAATAACTGTAACAGTCACACAGATTTACTCTCTTCCAACTACAGCACATGTAAAGTCTTCTGTTTGTTCACTAGACATTGCAAATTAGTGGCAGCAACTGAAGACTTATTGCTAACCAGTGACTCTGATCTCTGACTGACCTACAACTCTCCAACTTGTCCAGCTGGTCTTTGTTATATAACCTCAGCATAGACCTCATAGAAAACACTGCTTCCAAGATTTCCTCTGTTGTTGCTAGTTTATTCTTTTCCACAGAAAGATGATTTCCTCACCATTGCCTAGCAGTGGCTCCATCTATTCATTAAGCTGCTTCAGCTTTCAGCCGTCATGTTAGAATGTACTTTCAGGTCCTGTTACACACACTTAACCAGAAATTATATGTAGGTGTGACTACAAATTAGATGCTCATATTGTGAAAAATAGAAGCTGTCTTGGTACCTGTCTGACCAGTGATTAGATACTGAAGTGAAACTCGTGAGTACAATTTGCATACCTACCGTCTCTCCCTTCTCGTTCTCCCTTGTACTCTTCCTGCTTTGCTTGGCAGTGATAATCCTCTGGGTCTTTAAAAAGGAGGCACCCGGTCCAAATCACACCCAAGTTACTGACTCTTCTGTTTGAGATCATCCTGGATTTCTTCAGCCCCTCCAGCTGAATGGGTGTGATAGACACCACAACCCAGTGTGAAAAACTGAAAAAGAAAATTTGATATTGTACGTATGGTATTATTTCAGGTAAAAGCCCATGAGACTTGAAGATTGTTTGTAACGCTGGATGCAGTTCAGGTCTCATACAAATCTGTTTTGATTTACGTCTAGTTCTGTTTATCTGGATAACAAGACCACAATATGCTGAGTTTCATACTGTATCAGAAATTTTTAATTCACTTACCATTCACATTTTTCATGAAAATTTGTTTTAGTATTTCCTGTTTGCCTTCTCTTTCTCTTCTTTAACTGCCTCTGCCTTCTTTTCTTCTTCTCCTTCTTATCCTCGTAAAATTTCCTATAGGTTAAGTCCAAGCCTGTTCTGACTTCATAGTCTTTTGTATGATCTTACCGTATTTTGGTGTCCTTTTGGTTAATACTGAAAATTGAGTTGTAGGAGTGATGTTAAAGATTAGATTAAGGTGCTTTAACCATTTTCCATTTACTGTTTAAGTATTTAATTGTTTTTGTAATATTAATTATTAACTGTCAAATCTGGAGCATTTGTCACTTCTTAAAAATGAAGTATGGATGTTACTAACACTTCAGCTTCTTTAATCCAAATTTTACTTTGATTTAAAAATGTATGTAAATGATCATTGCTTATATAAGGCTATCTTTATCTATTCCCTTACTTGTTTGTATAGTGTCATATTGTCTCACATGCTTCAGGTTATTATTGTATTTTTTCATAATAATATAGGTAGTTAGTTAGTTAGTTAGTTATTGGAGAGGGTGGGTTTCCCCATGCACTTAGACCTGTATTGGTCCATTGTGCTTCCCTCTATGATTTCTACCAGTCTCTATATCCTACCGGTACTGGTGCTTACCATCAGTCCCGCCCAGCCAGCGAGACCGGCTCTACTAGCTGAGAGGTATCTATAATGCTTCCCCCATCTACCAGAGGTATTAGAGACTGCTGTTGGGCGGGAAACGTCCGTAATTTGGCTCAGTGACCTCCTTTGGAGATATGAGGTTCTTTTACATGCCATAAAGCTACAACACAGGACCCACGGCTTAAAGTCCCTCCCGGAGGACTTGTTCCCTGAATTTTTCCGCCCTTAAAAATTCTACGACCTCCACCGGGTATTTGAACCCGCGTACTACGAGTCATGAGGTGGGAACGTTAACTCTAGACTACGGAGGCCGCTTTACAATATAGGTAACTTTACAAATGTCATTCCAAATACAGTATTTCTGCATGTGCAAGTTGCCAAGATGTGATTGTCACACCCCATGTTTTATTAAAGAATGTTAAGTGATTAGAATGGTACTTGGCAGCGCATGTTTTGTTGGGCTGGAGGGGAGTTGGGTCAGCATACTGTCACTAACAGAAGTGGTTACTGAGTAACTGTTACTCATTTGAGTTTTGCTGAACTTGCATGTTAAGGCAAAATAATACCATTTTTATATATATTGGTAGCATTTTCATAAGTGTGCCATTGATGAGGTGAAAAAGTGAAAATTAAGAGTCCAATGAATCTATTTGTCAATCCAAAACCCTGTCTGTAGTCACACCCCATCATATGATAGTATGTTTCTTGGGGAACAAGTTATTTGTGCCTTATATATTTCTAGTTCTCTTTATAAATCCTTTTTTTTTATTATTTTCAATTCATCAGACTCTACATATATTGCAATGTATTTGCTTGAATGAACACCCTAAACTTCTGGAAGTTTGTTAAGTGGGAAAAGAGTGTTATGAAATGGTTTGTCCAGTAAATAAATTGTATGTTGTACAATAAACTCTCTTGACTTATTTTTTATATTCATATTTCATATCCAAGCTTATTTCTTGCTACTTTGTTTATGATTTATTGTGTACAGCCATTGCCACGCAATGGCTGTGATGTAAAGAAGAATAAACAGCAACCGCTTCTAGGCAATGGCTCAGTAAACATGTTCCTGTGAAAACCAGTACACATGCAAGAATAGAAGAGCAAAGTTATCTGCCAAGAAGTTATAACTGGGACAGTTGGAGCAATGACTTCAGTTGATTTCTGTATGGGAGGCCGTGAAGAGATGGTGCTGTAATTAAGTTCACTGTTGGTAAGTTGGGAGATGGCAGCCAGCTTGGAATGGCATGAGTACGGAAGCTGAAGAATCTCCACTGTTAGGAGCTGTTACTGAGAAATGACTAGTGAAGGCACTGCAGGCTGGAAAAGACTTTGTGTGTTCTCTAGTGATTCATAAAGTGTGGAGATGAACGATGGCACTGTAATTAAATGTATTCATGGGTCGTGTGTTAAAGTGGTCAATAAATCCAATGTCCAATCAAAACCTCGTCGAGAGTCACGCATACACGTGACAGTATACAGTGTCATTATACAGATTACTGGGCTGTACCTATGTTGAGCTAGATCTAATAAAAAGGACATGTGTCCCTTATTTTCAGTGTTTCAAGAATGGTAGCATTCGTGGGGTTCTCGTGGCAGTGATTTTAAAGAATACAATTTTCCTTGATGTGATACAATGGAATTTGGTAAAAGTTCACCAACATTTCAGAGGAACATATGCCTTCATTTTCAAGGTTGAAGAGTGAACCAGACAAGCTGGCAGGAAGCAATGTGTCCTTCTTTCAGCTTGCTTGTTTTGCTTATTCAACTTACTCATCAACCCTGAAGATGGAGACAATGTGTTCCTTTGAAGCGTTGGCAAACTAGTATGCGTACGAGGACAAATTGATGTGCTACTAATCATGCCACCTGTTTTTAAGCAAAACTCTATATTAAGAATTGTGACCTGTAAACATGTAAATGTGGTAATTATAGTGTGAATCTGGTTCTACAATTCCTACTCTTTGTTGCCATAGACAGACTGTTTTGCTATACTGTGTTATGTTACATTACAGAGAATTGAATCTGAGGGCTGAGGAAGACAGATGCAGTCGACTTAGGGAAGAACTGCTTACATTAAGAGAGGACCTGAACAAAGCTTATCTGTCTCATGACATGCTGGAGCAACAGAAGATGGAATCAGATGGTCACATAGCCCAAATAGAGAAGAACAAAGGTGTGGTTATAATATGTTTTCAGACCTTTTTTTAAATTTTGACTGTGTTATCCTTTTGGTCTTTAAAGGAGATGTAAAGGACAGTGGAGTGATTTTTGCATATTAGTTAATGATGTCAAAATAAATATTGCTGACTTATGCTAATTAATAATACATGTACATAATAATACATGAATTATAATTCATTGATAGCAGCAGTGCATTTCAAGTATTAGGTGCATACAGATGATAAATGATTACTTTGAAGCACAAACAGTCTTCCTATTTATAGTTATAACATAAACTTTCAGCTGTAACAGAATCAGCAGAGCACTTTGGAACATGTATTATACAGTTTAGGAACACTGATATAAAACATTTGTGGTTTGATCAGTTATTTTCAGAGTGGCCATAATGTGACACTGCTGCAGTTAGTACAAAACTCTTCTGCTAGGCAGAGGTGCAGTAGAAGCAGCTGAGTCATATGTTGTTCACTTAAAAGTTGGAACTTATGTCACTCTGAGGAACACCTTATATAGTGAGGCCATATTTTGGGCCCTCTGCAATTTGTATTTTATTAGAAAATGACAGATTTTGAAGAACCATACATGTTTATCAAGGTCTGCTTTGAACTAGGCAAGGAGAGGAAGCAATGAGTGAAGCTAAAACATTTGATTAGTTTTCCAAGTTCAAAGGTGGAGTGGCACCAGTTAACAGTGCTGTGTTCAGGATGTAGCAAAAATTAAGGAACTTGTTACGGAAAGATTTGTGTCACTATCATATCACTATCCTCAACTTGAAAAATGAGGTGGGAATTTAATTTGGATCATGGAAATGTATTTTGATGCAAGATCTGACATGACATAGTGCCGCAAAATTCACTCTTCATCTGCTGATTGATGAACAAAAACAGAATCCCGTCAGTTGTGTCAGGACCATCAGGGACAACTTCAGAGAGCTCCACAGTTCCTTGCAAGTGCTGAGATTCAAGGTTGCACTGAAGGAGCTCTGTGATTAGATCATTATTTAGAAACAATGATAGGCTATACTTGCTGAGTTCAAAACCTTGGACTTCTGCAAATTCTCTAACATTAGCACATTCACTGGACCCTGTGCATCAAGAGGCAAGGTAATACTTCAAAGAGGACAGCATTGAATGGAGGGTAAATGCATTTAGTACATAGAAAGAAGTATAACCTGGAAATTATTTGATGGCTTTGCACATAGTGGTACATGAATATTAAGTGATGGCATTTAACTGATATGAAAATGAAAAGAAGTTTTATTGATTGTGACAATAGGGGATCTGGAGTTAGCACTGGAGCGTATCCTGTTGGAGAAGTCTGATGGCCAGGAGACATTAGCCAAGCTGGAAACAGTGTGCAGTAGCTTGGAGCAAGATAAGAAGAGATTACAAGATGCAGTTAAAAAGGTAAGACGGCTTTAGCGTTCATCTCCCCCTCCTCACTTTCATTTTTCTTCTTTACCTACTCTTCGCAGTATCTTGGGCTGCTTGAGTTTTGCACTTGCATAATGTTCATCATAAATGCCAATCATTCCAGTCTTCTTCCTTCCATCCCTTGTAATTCCTTGTAATTGCCGGGTTTTGTTCCTGCCTTCTTTGTTTTCCAGTAGTTAGTTGTAGCCATTGATGCTCTTCCGTTCTGTCCATAACAATCAGATATGTCACATTATCTCATTCCAAATTCTGCTGATCTGAAAATGAGATTCTGTTGCTGGAGTTTGAGTGAATAATAATGTGGACTTCAAAGCTAGCAGCCAGATCACATCCCATAAGGACCTAAGATCAAATTCTTGCTCAGATATTTCTGATGCTGCTGTATAGACTTTCTGTTAGGTTTTTACCATTTCTATGTGTACAATAAATTTGTTGTGGTGGTGCATGAGATTATGATAACACCATGCACCCAAAGATTACAGCATATGCTGACTGCAGTTGTACTAATTCTGTTGGTAGGTGAAATGCCAATGGTAGCCTCTTTCATCATCAACTGTCATCATTTTCATCCATAATTCTTATTTGTAAGAACCTGATTTTGTATTTTCTCAGTATTGTTTGTTATGGTTGGATTGTGTGTGTGCAAAGTGGAACCCTTAGTGTATGATAAATCTCAGTCTGTGATGAAATTTATGGTTTTACTAATACTTGTAAAAGACTGGGTTCTGTCCAGCCTGCAGCCTAATGGATACTGGGGAATCTTTCCATAGGGATGGTAAAGCAGTCCACCTCTGCTATATGCTGAAATCTAAAATATGTCTGAAAGTCCCCAATGCACCTTCATTGTGTTGTGATCAGACACAGGGACAACTGTGGCTTGTTTATAATGTTTTTTTAGGTTTTTATTTCATGCTATTAAATAAGTTAGACATATGATATAGAATTGTTAAAAACCATATCCGTGCAGGTGGAAGAGGAGAAGGCATCTCTTCAGAGCCAGTGTACAGACCAGCAGAATGACTTGGGGTCTCTCAGGAAAGAACTACTCCAGGCTGAGCAAACACGCCTGGACCTGGAGTCAGACAAAGTCTCCCTCCAGGAAAAGAATAAATTCCTGGAGATCGAGAAAGAGAAAGTAAGTGATATATATAATATTCATTCATTCATCAGTAATCTGTCAGACGACAGGTCCGCAGTCTCTTCCAAAACAGTTCCTCCACTTAATGCAATCTTCTGTTTTTTGGAAAGAGACTATCCAGCAAAAGTGATAATGTGGTAGTTTTTCCATTTGCTTTCCACATCGCAGTACAACAGCCGTTCAAACCACTCTGGTCACGCCTGTTGCTATACAAACTTGAACCATCTCGAGCATCATTTGCTCTATGCTTCAAGTCGCTGCTGATGACGCTGCTTCTGCCATTATATATATATAGTAAGAGATAAATCAGAAGAAATTTCATGATTTACAGTATTTATTAGGATTTCAGATGAGCTGAATATGTAAAAACAACAATGCATATGGAAATTTGGCACGAAACCTCATATAACATAGTTTTCACTGAGCAGTATCATTAGCTGTACACACAGTATTAAAGGTGGAGAACCACTCTTTGTTGAGCATTCATGACAGGCTATGTGTATGCAGTTTTGAATGCATTTATTGTTTCCCTATGCATGTGATTATCCCATCCATCTCATCATTCTTGTTACAGTGCCCCAAAGTATTAGGAGAACAATATATTATGAAGCTCCTCATTATGTAATTTTCTCCATTATACTATTATTTAATTTCTCTTACATTCAAATATGCTTTGTCCTCAAATTCCTTCAATGTGTATCTTTCTGCCTGAGCAAGAGAATAGGTTTTGTACCAGTGGAAAATAAGTAACTTATACCTCTGTATATTCTAAATCTAGGGTTTTGGAAGGGATTTGGTATGATAAAAGTTGTTGGACTCAGGGGTAGCAAGCAGTTTCCAACTTAATTTCATCATGAATGTAATTTCATTTTTGGGGGACAAAGTAAACTCTCTCACATGATAGGTAAAATCCAGAATGATGAAAGTATAACTGTATCACACTTAGTCATCACTGATTTATCATGTCTTAAAGCATGTGGCACATGTTACACTTCAAGGACGGAAGCTTCTTTTAGTTCTCTTTATATTCATTTGTGTTCATATGCATTCACTGATTCTGAATTATTCAGTGTACAGAACCACATGTGTCATATTGGTGTAATCTTCATGTGTTTTACAGGTGGAACTAGAATTGGGCCAAGTGTCTAAGGAAAGGGGAGATCTAAGTAACCAGCTGTCGTCACTAGCTCGAAAGAAAGAGGCACTGAATGAAGAATTGATGAGAATAAGGCAAAGAATGGAACAAGCCAATGAGACTAATGCTCGCCTCAATCGTGATTTGGAAGATCTTATGAAAGACAAAGAGGAAAAACAGGTGAAACATGAACACATGGTTTCTGTTATTTATTTATGTATTTATTTAAAGTTTATTTACACTTTCGGTATCACAGACCATATAGTGTCAAGTGATAAGATGACTTAGTGAACAATCAAATGAATCTTTACATTACATGGGAGGAGCCATGTTTGCTTGCAATATGTGAGGGGCAACTGGTTAACTGATAGCAATTTATTTGACTGACTGAAAGTAGGCGATTAGTTCTTCCGAGAAATTTTTGTTTTGTTGTTGTTGCTCCTGCTGCTCTTTAGTGTTAGTATCATAAATATCAGATCTCAAGCTCTAATGGAAGTTAAATAATTAAATAAATAAATTATTAGTGAATTAAAGAATATTTTAGTTTATATAGTTACTGTTCAATCATTCAGGTTTAAGTATGAGTTATTTCATTAGTAAGATGGCAGAATGTCAACGAGACAAATCCATTTGCAGTGGAACCCCGATTTAAGGTTACTCTGAAGAGCAATGATTCTGGGGAAAATCTTAAATGAATGCAATGTAACAGTGGTGCTAGTGACTTGAGATCATCTACATGGAACATGAAATGAGGAAAACCCCTAAATTTTTGGATGTTAAGTGGGGTTTCCACTTGACACACAGACATAAAGGAGTCGAGGAAATGAGGAAAACTCTTAAATTAAGGAATGTTAAATGGGTGTTCTGCTCTACATAGATAGACATAAAGTAGTCTAGGAAATGAAGAAAACCCTTAAATTGCAGAATGTTAAATGGGGGTTCCACTCTACACATATAGACATAAAGGAGTGTATGATTAAATCCTCAGGTGAAATTGAGGTCATATTTATGTTATTTTAATTATGTCATAATCTTTTATGTTTCATGCAGGTTCTTCTCGAAGCAAATGAAAAAGAACTTCAGCGGCTTCAAGAACAGTTTGCTTCATTAAGAAGTGAGAAAGATGCTCTGGAAGGAGTTCTCTTTGATACACAAACAAACTTGGAAGCTACTGATACCAAACGCATGCAACTAGAGAAAGAGCAGCAGGATCTGCTGGTGAAACAGGAGGCTTTGAAAGGTGAAGTGTGTCGTCTAACTCGTGACTTGGAAACCTCTGAGAAACGTGCACAAGAGATGAAGAATTCACTAACTCAGCAAGCTAGTACACAAGAGGCAGAGTTCCAGCAAGTTATTGCCAACCTCAAGAAGCAAAATGAAGAAACTGTGAGGAAACTGACAGAGGAAAGGGTAAGTGGGTCTTTTTGTCTTTCTCTGCTCAAACAGAGACATAGGAGAAGCACTACTCTTGCGAGAAACGTCCTTATAGATAGATAAGTGTTATGTATGTGGATTACTTCAAAAGTCATGTTAACATAATTTTTCCGAAATTTCAAAAGCTCCAACCGGAATTTACAAACTTGCTGCTGAGAGACAGCAACGCTGATTTCTAGTGATGCCACTAGATGATGTGGAAGTCTAAGGACAATGAAGTGAGTCCAGTGTGAAGTATGATCATAACCTTCGTCGAGAATGAATGTTAGCTGGCTAGAACAGTGTTACGTGAAAATAGCAGTGCTTCCCAGCAGAAATGCGACTGAATGTCACTCAGAGCTTGTGGAAGCTCTGGGTGATCGTGCTCTACCATACAGCACTATTGCAAGGTGGATAGAAGCATTCCAACGTCGGAGAGAAGCAAGTGCTGACTTGCAACGTAGTGGACACCTTCGTACCGATGTTTCTCGTGCCATGATCACCCAGTGCATGGAGGAAGATACACTTGATACACTTGGAGACTACTTTGAAGGTTGCTAGTCATAATGTAAGAATTCAGATTTAACTCACATTGAATTTTTTATTTCTTAATCACAGTTGGATTTTTCAAGGATTAGAGAATGAAAAATAAACAGTCATTTCGTAATGTGCAATTTTTCTTGCCTACTATACCTACGCCCCTTCACATCTACCTGATCTGACTAAGCCAATCGGAGGGGTATATCATGCCCTTTCATAGGTACATTTTGAACTTTCTTCACTGTAACGTGTTTGCCGAAAAAAATTAGTTGCCATGACTTTTGAAGTAATCCAGGTATATTCTATTGATCTTGAATATGCAGGGAGTTTCTAAACAGCACATCCATGAAGGAGACTTATATGTTACAGATTGGCCATAGTTCTTGAAAGGAACATTTCATTCTTCCACCTGAGTCCATGCTTTAAGCGATATCATGGTGTTAGGATGTAGAAGTCAAAGTACAGTAAACACAATGCACTTAATAAATAGACATAAAAAGATGATATGATGTTAAAGTCTATGTATAACACAGTCCATCAATAACGCAACAAGTTGTTCTTTTTTCTTTCCACTTATACTTAAACACAACATGTTTCAGACTTAGATGACCATCTTCAGGTGTTTTAATATGTTAAATCTCCTAACACTGCATTAAAATGTGGTAAAATCACATGCTGTAGTGCATTTAATAAAATAAAATTCATTAAATTTTTTCTATTAAAATCTTAATTTTCGTCTCTTTGGTGAAATTCTCTTCCACCTCACAAGGGGTGCCATCTGTTTGTTTACAACTATATGTTTCTTTCCATGTGTTTTTGTTGCAGCAGCTTGTTTTTATGTCCATTAGCCCGTTGTTCTGTTACATCTGCAATCTGTATTATGCCCCTTGTTTGTGCGTTGTTCCATCCAGCAGCTTGTGGTGTTGTCTTCACTAGTGGTATGATATAATTACAATACACTTGGAAACAACCCAGTATAATTTCTCCAGCAGGGAAGTGTTTGTTGGCGCAGCTTTACATTCATTTGATATGTCTTATGACAGGAGCATATCAGAATCTCCTTAGAGAAAAAGATGCAGCAGACAGTTCAGCAGATGGGAGGAGAGAAGGATGGTGAGATTCAGCAGCTCCAACAGAGGATAGAAGTACTGCAGCAACACATTGAGAAAATTTGTCAACAGCATGAAGAAGTTCTGCTCAGAGCAGAGAATGACAAGCAGCAAGCTCTGCTCCTTGGTAAGCAGGCAGTTGTTAGTGTCTGGTTTCATGTAGAGAGGCTTTTATGTGTTCTTTGCATGGAATGCATGAAATGAATGCATACTATGCCTGGCTAATCTTGACACTTGCAGGGTGAGGAAGGAATGGACTGACAAGGGGGGAAGGGGCAGAAAGAGACCTACCTACTGTGTATAGCATCGGTTCAGAACATATCGACCTGTAGTGTATTTGTGTAGAGCTCAGCTGAACTGAACTGAAGCAGTTGTGGTTGTACGAGGTGTGTTCAAAAAATGACGGGAATTTCCGTATTTTGGAAAAAATATTTATTCATTCGTCTACATTAATGTTGTCGCCTTCAAAATAGTCCCCATTCGATATTATGCACTTACGCCAGCGCTTCTTCCAATCATCGAAACACTTCTCAAACTCGATTTTTGGGATAGCCTTTAGCTCTTTCAGCGATGCGCTTTTAATGTCATCTATGCTTGTAAAACGACGGCCCTTTAAGGTTCTCTTTATTTTTGGAAATAGGAAAAAGTCACACGGAGCCATGTCTGGCGAATATGGAGGCTGGGGCATCGTTACAGTATTGTTTTTGGCCAAGAATTCACGAACAAGCAACGAAGTGTGAGCAGGTGCATTATCGTGGTGCAAAAGCCATGAATTGTTTTTCCACAAATCCGGGCGTTTTTTTCGGATTGCCTCACGCAAACTTCTCTGATTGTGATTCGGCGATCATTCATAATCATTGCTTTCACTTTTTCCACGTTTTCATCGGTTGTTGATGTGCTGGGGCGTCCGGGGCGCTCGTCATCTGCAACGTCTTCACGGCCATCTTGGAAACGCTTATACCACTCGTAAACTCTTGTTTTACTCATAACAGACTCACCATAGGCCTTTGTTAACATTTCACACACTTTGTAACACTTTATTTCATTTTTTACGCAAAATTTGATACAAATTCTTTGATCCATTTCTTTTAACAAACGAAAATCGCCAAGCTCATAAAAACACGTCTAACCTTAGCGGCTGCCACAGACAAAGTAAGCAATGAATACAGCTGAAAATTTTATTGTACTTCAGGGGCATGTATACCAACATAATAAAAAAAAAATTTTGACAATTGGACTCTCCAAACCCGCGAAATTTTAAAATTCCCGTTATTTCCTGAACACACCTCGTATCTCTACAGTGCAAAGCATCATTTCAGCAGTGAAACTCACACTGAATACAGTAATATTGTGTTTGATGAAGACAGGTGACATGGAGCTTGCACAGCCACTATAGAGTATATACTGAATGTTTTGACTCGGGTAGTAGTTACTGATTCATGCTGCTGCTGCTGTGCCTGTAGTGGCTCAGACTTCTTGCATTCCTCACAGCTCTCAAGCTTTAGAGTCATGTACTGTAACTGGAACATGTTTCAACTCTTGAACTACTGAACAGATTTAAGCAAAATTTGATATTGAGATGAACACAAAAGTTCTCTGAAATTTAATTTTTGTTCATATTGGTTCAGTATAGCCCCTGTTTCATATGAGATTCTAGTGAAACTTAATCACTTTACACAAAAACAGCTCATCTGTTGTCGCATGACATAAAATATAAACATCAGAAACATCTGCTTGAAACTTTGGTTGTGGTTTCAGTGAAAATTATGAACTGGTCAAAATTTGATCAAGGGACATTTTCATCTCATTTTTCATCAAGGAATCATGTAATGGAATCCATAGGCGCAGATTTCTGTTCATCCTGTATAGCCTTTCAGTAAATCTATGTTGTAACCATTTGGCTTACACAGACATTGAATTGATAATTGCATAAATGCTGCCATCTTGTTTGTAATTATTGTATGTAATAGTGTAGTGAAATCTTATTACTGTGTATTTCTGGGATGAATAATGTAAATTTCAACCCTAAGATATGCTACTTTGATGTTCTTCATTCCTCCATGTCCTCTGACCATCTTGATCTCTGTCTGCTTGGCATAATATAAAGATATGAAGACACAAATGAGATATTAATACTCACAGGGCACAATTTCCATTTTGCCACTAATCATAGGATGATATAGTGATCATGTAAGTTGAGCAACAACAAAGGTCTGCCCATGTGTATTTTGCAAGCTGAAAACATGAGCATGATTATGGGCGTCTCTGACTGTTGCCATTGATACACTGAAGCTTACTATGTGTCTAAATGAACAGTAGAACACTTACGGTTAACCACTTGTACCTGCCACTTACCTTGAGTTCTCTTTTATGGAGGACAGTAAGTTGCATGATTCCTGGAAGTGAAGGTGGGACCTAAACTACTATCAATGCATGGCTCTTTAATGGTCTGACTTTTGAACACATGTATGGTGTTTGTATTGTTTGTATTCTTATAGCTCACCATGACCAGCAAGCACTGCAGGAGAAGTTGGATGGTGTTCAGAGAGAACTGGAGGAGGAGCAGGGAGCTCTGGATCGACTGCGGAGAGATGCTTCAACAAGAGCAGAACAGGACCGTGGCAGCATCAGTCAGCTTCGGGATGAACTTACCCGCTTCAAAACAAGACTTGAAGAGACCAGGTTTGTTCGTATATCACAATGAATTATCCGATGAAGTAAATGTAATTTTTCAGTTCTTGCTCGTAATAGTGTTGAAATGTGGTCTACTGATAGTTCTGATGTAGCGCTTAGCATTCCTCATTTGTATTGTGTAGATCTCACTGTCTTAGTTCGTGTTAACACAATTTAATAAAATATTTGTAACATATCAAGACACCTGAATATGGCCGTTTGGTCTCAAAACATGTAGTGTCAAGGTGTATTATGTTAAACTAAAATTGAGTGGTGATTGGAAGAGTGTTGCAATATTGATGGATGATAAATAATGAACGTTAAGTTGAACAATTGCAACGGGATGCTGAAATACAGAATCCTCCATTCACCTTAATGTGAATGTCCTGTCATGCAGGTGCTGGAATATTATCTTAAAAGGGTCCATTTGATAGAGCATATTATATACATCAATATGAATTTAGAAATATATATGCCTACTGTTCAAAGGATTAATGCATTTCGGGATATCCTAATTATTTGTAGAATGTCCTCTTAATATGACTAGTGTGTGTACGTAAATGTACTAACAAAAGTCAATTTGATGAGACAGTGGTTTGTAATTCTTGCTAAATATAATTTGTAGATTGAAGGCAGAAGAAGAGAGGAACCGACTAGATGGCAAGATTGAGGAGGTACGCAAGGAGCGGGATGTGGTGCAGCAGGAATGTGAAGAGCTGAAAGTGCAGCTCCATCTAACAGAGGATCGTCTTGATGCAAACCAGAACCAACTACAAGAAACTGCACATAAACTCAAAGAAGGTATTTTATAACTCTGTGGTGCAGATCTTTCTTGAAAAGTAGAAATTTATCAGGTCAATAAATTTGTGCTTTTATGGAACCTAAGGTTCTTAACTATGTTCACAAATATTCATCATTAGACTCTGTTCTGAGTACCAGAGTGAAGATTATTGAGCAGCTGGATGCTACACTTGCATATTTAGTAAGCCTTAAATTGGAACTGATAATCTGTGGCAATGCAAACATAAATTACCTCAAAGAAAACCATAAAAAAATACAGTTACAATCCTTATTAGATACTTATAATCTGGCTCAAATAATTGACTGTCTGACTAGAATAGGTCCCACTTCTCTCACACTCATAGATCATTTCTTCTTAGATAAGAATGTCTTCAATAAATTTCAAACCCATTCCGCAATAAATGGGTTTTCAGACCATGATGGGCAAATCTTAGTACTTGAAAATTTACAGGTGAAAAGAAAAAGGGACCATGTAAGAGCATTTAGGGATATTAATGATGAGAACATAGCATATTTCCAATGGGCATTACAAAATGAAAACTGGGAAGCAGTTTATGATCAAGAGAATGTTAATATGAAATTTAATAAATTTCATAATACCTTCTTAACAACTGTAGAAAACAGCTTTCTCCTGGTGTACAAAAAAAAAAAACGCCAACAAATGGATAACCAAAGGTATACAAACATCTTGTAATCATAAAACAGCTTTATATGACTTAGATGAAAAATCAAAGGATGAAAGATTAGAATCAAACTATAAAGAGAACTATGTAAGATTTGAGGCTTTCATGGTGGTGACTATGAAGAAAGCAGTCTTCTGGGATTTGGCACCGTGTATATGTGGTGTTAACCGACGTTTCGGAGGAACGTATCGCCTCCATCTTCAGGGTAGAAGAAAAAATATAAGAAATCTGCAAGCTAAGAGACTGTGAGAACCGGTAAAAAGTCTGCTTTTACCGGTTCTCACGGTTGTGTACTGCAGTACACAACACACAACGCATAGGAAACATCTAACCATAAGCCTACACAACCTCAAGCTGACATCTCCCATCTTCGGGATGAATTAACAAGGAGGAGCCTAACATTTTACTTCAAATGTTTTAAATTTTTAAATATTTTAACATTGACGTTTTAACTTGAGGGCAATTTCGGATGGAATGTGAGAGTTGAACGTGCATTCAATAATCCTAGCAAGTGTTGTGCTTTTACACATCGACATACTGTAGCAGCGTCCACGCAGCATATATACTGTGTACATTTAAACAACGACAGTGTTTTCATGATTGTACTATGTGCCTCTGATGATGGTTTTTATTAAACCGAAACATGTAAGGCAGAAGTGATAAAGAAGTGACCTAAAAAATTGTTACACTCGACGGACTTTCTATTGACTTTGTGATTCATTAGGAATTTTTTGTGATTTGACAAAAGCATTTGACTGTGTGAGTCATGATATTCTTTTGAGTAAATTAGCAACATACGGCATTGGTGGTAAAATAAAAATATGGTTGAAGTCCTATCTGCTAAAAAAATAAGAGTTGAACTTTATAATAATGAGAATGGAAAATGCAGTTCAGACTGGGGAACTGTCAAATATGGAGTGCCACAGGGCTCAATTTTGGGTCCTTTGTTGTTCCTTTTATATATTAATGACCTGCCGTCAGCATTAAATGCTGACAACAAGTCATTGTTGTATGCTGATGATACAAGTATATTAGTGTCGGGTATTAATATCAATGAAATTCAAGAAAGGTCTAAACTTATGTTAAATTCCTTAAATCAGTGGTTTAAATACTTGAGGAAAACTGAAGTGTTAAATTTGAAACAATCAGTCGTGACAATATGCCTGTACATTTAAAGTTTAACAATGAATTATTACAAGAGGAAACTCATATTAAATTTTTGGGCATTGAAATTGATAAGTTCTTGAATTGGAAGACACAGGTTGAATCATTGTTACCCAGATTGGTAAAGGCATGTTATGCAATACGAATTATGAAAACATATAGTAATGTTACAACAGTTAAAATGATATATCATGCATACTTTCATTCACTCATGAGATATGGAATAGATTTTTGGGGTAATTCATCAGAGGCCAAGAAGATCTTTCTCTAAAGAAGACTATGAGAACAATAATGGGAATGAAACATGGAGAGTCATGTAGGCCAGCATTTATAAAGTTAAATATATTAACACTAGTCTCTCAATATATTTTATCCTTCATGACTTTTATGATAAATAACTTGAAGTATGTTACTTTTAATTATTCAATTTATGAGAGACCAACAAGACACAAAAGAAAGTTACATGTCCTACAATCACATCTCGCAATGAGGCAGAAAGGGGTCCATTGCATGAGTATAAAAATATTTAACAGTCTGCCTGATTATCTAACTGATTTAGTACATGATAAAAACAGTTTATAAAAGAAATAAGTGATGTTGTAATACATAATCCGTCATATACTGTTGATGAATTTTTGCTCTTCTATCGGGATCAACAACTAAGGAAAAGAAGGGGAGTGCTGACTGACAGATGTCCCACAGTAGGCATCAATATTGACATTAAGTGTAAATATAATATGTATTTTATATATTTATTTAGATGCACGTTGTTTGTATTTATGTTTGTTTGTTATTGTGATATGGCGTGTTGGAATTGTAAAGATGTATTGTTGTTTGTAAAGCTTGTGACATGTTTCATATTCAGTGCAGATTGCACTTATGAATATCCTGAAATGCAGACATATATGTATATTCGGAGGATGGTGTGATGTTGGTATGCCATGTTGAGTGTCCAAGTAGAGACAGTTTATCTCTGCTTGGAACTGTTGTTATCTTGCTACATATTTGAGTTAAAAGTCTCCTTTTATTTCTTCAGGTATGGTAAATAAAAGGTAAAGCTGTCCCTGTAACAGGCTGTGAAGGTTCACAGGGGTGTGAGAGGTCAAGGCTCCCACATCTAGACAGTTGGCTCACAGATGGCAGTAAGGTTGTCAACTTTATATACTGCCACCATTTACCCCCCCAGGAATCTTTCCTGGTACTCATTTCTGTTGGAGACTAAGTTGACCCTAGGGCCATAGTGTTGCTGGAAGGATTAGGTGAATTTAAAATAGCCAATGATCTCATCAGGTCTTGAACCTGTGACCTCCCAGCTTGTAGCATAGTGCCTCAACCAACTACACTACTGCGTGCCTCACCTCATGTATGAGGTGATGTATAAGTATTTTGTGTGGAAAGCTACATATGTTTATTTTGTTAGAAACAGTCAAGGGAAGACATGAAAATTCTCAATGCACCTCACATAATAAGGAACTTGTGCCCATCCATCTCCATCCGCATGTTCCATTTCTGCAACTACTGAACATATTTTGATTAAATTTTGTTTTAGACATTTTTCATTATGGTGAATATTTAACAAAATAGAAGGAAAAATGTTTTCTGCTACTATACAATATATTTATAATCTGATTAACTTTACAAGAGCAGATTTGTATCTGTAGTAAATGAACATGAAGGCCAATGAAGTAGGCAAGATGGTAAAGAACTGATCTAAAGAATGCATGTACTCTACCAGAGTACACATTTTTGCTATTGTTCTACACGTGGAAGGTTCATTATAGATATTATTTATGGAAATATAGAAATAGTTATTTTGACACAACTGTCAAGACATGGGCTGAAATTTTCCCACTGATAGTTGTCGTCGTCCTTGTTGTTGTTTTCAGGCTCTTGTGATTTATATTCTTCCATCATTGTGCGAGATACCACATTTCAGAGCCCAACAAAACAAGCTATAAGATTATTGTTTCATCTGTTTTTTTTATTGCTAGTGGGGTGGCACTAAGTCCCTTGTATTGCGACCACTTCTGGCTTATTGTACCAGCCCCAGATGATAGGTGAGGGTGATTGTGGAACAGTTGGTGTCATAAAGATAGGCAGGGGAAACCGAAGTACTCAGAGAAAACTTTCCACAGCACCACTTTGTCCACCACAAATCCCACTTGACCAGACCCGGGATCGTATCTGGGCCGCCGCGATGGGAAGCCAGCGACTAACTGCTTATTCTGTGGTGCATCCTTGTTTCATCTCTAGTTTAATCTTAAATGTTTTGAGAATTAAACTGGATGATGATAGTTTACAAACATATAGACAGGTTTCTCTATGAGAGTAGAATGTTAAATACAGTCATGCAGCACAAAAGAATAAATTATTTACATATATCAGAATCTTATCTTACCACATTTAGTATCAACAGTGTCAAGTGATACTTACAGCATCAAAGATTATTATTATTATTATTATTATTATTNATGCCTCCCCCATCTACCAGAGGCGTTAGAGACTATTATTGGGCGGGAAATGTCCTTAATAATTTGGCTCAGAGGCCTCCTTGAGGCATGAGGTTCTTTGACATGCCGTAAAGCTACGACACGGGATCCACGGCTTAAAGTCCTCCCGGAGGACTTATTCCCTGAATTTTTCCGCCCTTAAAAATTCCAAGACCTCCGCTGGATTTGAACCCGCGTACCTTGAGTCATGAGGTGGGAACGTTACCCCTAGACTACGGAGGCCACTCAGCATCAAAGATGGTTTGAAACATCTCAGCTCAGTCTCCATAATATCAAATCTTGTCTCCAAGAGAGGCCATTGAACTGCCAACAAACCTTCAGAGATCATAGTTAAAACTTTTATGAATGAGAGCGTGTACAGTGGCACCTCTATTTAATGCTTGTCAATTCAAGGTTTTCCATCACTTAACATTCAGTTTCAGTGATCCCAGTGATAAATTACTTCCACTTAGGATTTTCCTCAATTTAGTCATCAATTCACTGCTCCCAAAAGGAACCTTAACCTTTATCGGACGGGCCATTTAATTTCCGGTAGGGGCAGCTGGACGGAGTTTATTTAAATGCCCGCCCTTCTAGAGCAATGAAATTGTAAGCATGTTTCTAAAAATGGTGTGATTTCTACATTTTTTATGATAAACGAACGAAATGAACGCTCCTTTAATGTAGAAAGAATATAGAATCAGATATTCTAATTTACAGATTTTAATATCTGTAAAAAATTTTTACACTGATTCCCAAAATAAAATTTCCCGAAATTCATACATTTTCTGCACCATGCGTTCTAGCAGTGTAATACATTTTCTGCACCATGCGTTTTAGCAGTGTAAGTCCTTGTGGTGACTTCACATTCAATGGTATCTCTTGTTGTAGCTTATTTATCGTATGGGACATGTCGCTATGCACGACTGTACTCGTCTGAATTGCCTCGCTGCCTAATGTGTTAGATAAACACAGGAGTTAATTCTCGGA